TTCATTCACCTGGGAGCGAGTGCGCGACTCTGCGGAAAGCCCAGTACATTCCCGCCCCAGCCAAGCTGCAATCGCTCCGAGGAAAACAGAGCCAGCTTCATCTAACACTCGCTCGGAGCGGGAGGCCGACGCCAAGACTCCCTTTCAGTTACTGGGAATGAACTTTGAGATTGGCCGCGGTGAGTTGGTCGCCGTCATCGGATCGGTGGGCAGCGGGAAAACTTCACTACTGGCAGCCTTAGCGGGCGATATGAGACAAACAGCAGGGAGTGTTCGGATAGGCGCCACTCGGGGGTATTGCCCACAGTATGCCTGGGTACAAAATACTACAGTTCGCGACAATATACTTTTTGGAAGGGAGTATGACGCGGATCGGTACAACGAGGTGATCGATGCATGCGCACTTCGTTCGGACCTGGCGATGTTTCCGGACGGAGATCAGACCGAAATTGGTGAGCGTGGCATCACTATCTCTGGTGGCCAGAAGCAGCGATTGAACATCGCTCGGGCGATCTACTCAAACTCAGAGCTCGTGCTCATGGATGATCCCTTGTCAGCGGTCGATGCCCATGTAGGACGCCACATCATGGATAATGCCATCTGCGGACTTCTCAAGGACCGATCCCGGGTGCTCGCCACCCATCAATTGCACGTGCTTGGACGTTGCGACCGCATTATCGTCATGGAGGACGGGAAGATCCATGCGATCGGCACTTTTGATAATCTGACGCGCTGGAGTGACATCTTCAAGCGGCTCATATCCATGACGTCCCAGCAAGACGCCTTGGATCAGGAACCATCGAGCACCAGCGCTACTACCGACGAAAAGCCCGAAACTGCGCGAAGAGTGCCAGGTGGTGCCTTGATGCAGAAAGAGGACATGGCAACTGGCTCGGTTGGCTGGGATGTCTTGAGAACTTACGTCAAAGCATCGGGATCGTATCTCAATGTTCCTGTTTCTCTGTGCTTGATGTGTGTTGTCAATGGTGCGCTGGTCATGTCCGGGCTTTGGTTGTCATTCTGGACTTCCAATAAATATCCTGGATTGACCACGGGCCAGTACGTAGGGATCTACATCGCGGTTTGTTGCAGCCAATTCATCGGGATGTATGCGTTTGCGGCGCATGTGACAATTGTGGGCGCCAATGCCAGCAAGAAAATGCTTCAGCGTGCAATGTATCGGATTTTACGAGCCCCAATGTCTTTCTTCGACACTACGCCGATGGGCCGTATCACCAACCGTTTCTCGAAGGATGTGCAAGTGATGGACAGCGACCTACCCGATTCGATTAGGTTATTCGTCTTGACATTGTCACAGATTACCTCCACAATTGGGATGGTGATTGCGTTTTACTACTATGCAAGTACTCCCGAAACCGCCATCTGTACTTTTCTAACTGTGATGCTGCCAGTTTGCGATAGCGTTGGGGCCGTTGGTCCTCTTATTTCTTTTCGCAGCAAGCTACTACCGTGCGTCGGCCCGCAACCTCAAGCGGCATGAGGCAGTCCTTCGTTCCAAAGTATTTGCTCGATTCGGCGAGGCAATTGCAGGCTCTGCGTGCATTCAAGCATACAAAGCAGAAGAGCACTTCAAGAAATCTATTCACAATGCCATCGATGACATGAATGGCGCCTATTTCTTGACTTTTGCCAACCAACGATGGCTCGGAGTCCGACTGGATATGGTTGGCACCTTGTTGATTCTGGTGACGAGTCTCCTGGTTGTGACTTCACGCTTGGATGTCTCGCCCAGCATCGCAGGCTTGGTCTTGTCATATGTGGTTTCCATAACCCAGACCTTGGGATTCACGGTGCGACAATTCGCCGATGTGGATAACAATATGAACGCTGCCGAGCGTGTAAATCACTACGGCACGCAGCTGGAAGAGGAGGCTCCTCTTCACCTGACGGACGTCGGAAAGGAGTGGCCTTCTGTCGGTCGCATCACATTCGAAGACGTGCAGATGCGCTACCGAGCCGGGCTCCCTCTGGTGCTCAGGGGACTCTCCATGGAAATCCGAGGCGGAGAACGCATTGGGATCGTGGGTCGCACGGGGGCGGGCAAGTCCAGCATCATGTCCGCTCTATTCCGACTGACCGAACTGTCGGGGGGCAAGATCCACATCGACGGGGTTGATATCGCCACCGTCGGGCTTTACGATCTCCGCACGCGGCTGTCGATCATCCCACAGGATCCGACGTTGTTCAAGGGCACCATCCGCTCGAATCTGGATCCATTCAACGAACACACTGACCTCGAGCTCTGGTCCGCGCTTCGCAAAGCGCACTTGGTCGACCAGGAAGCCGTGGACAAGAGCTCCGATGAAGGAACCGCCACCCCCGCACTCACCGACACGGGTACGCCCGTGCAGAAACGCCTCCATCTCGACACCGTGGTAGAAGAGGACGGACTGAACTTCTCGCTCGGCCAAAGACAGCTGATGGCGCTGGCGCGCGCTCTCGTGCGCGACTCGCGGGTGATCGTCTGCGACGAGGCGACCTCGTCCGTGGACTTCGAGACGGATCAGAAGGTGCAGGAGACGATGGCGCACGGGTTCGAGGGCAAGACCTTGCTGTGCATCGCGCATCGCCTGCGGACGATCTTGCAGTACGACCGGATCTGCGTGATGGGCCAGGGACAGATCGCGGAGATGGACACGCCCCTGCGGCTGTGGGAGGCCGGGGGCGTCTTTCGCAATATGTGTGACCAGAGTGGGATCACCCGGGAAGACTTTTTGGGTTGAGAATATGCGTGATGATAGAGTTGATTTTGGCATTTAGATAATCTCTAGTCTGATAGGCGGTCATCGATTCGACCAAGGATCACGTGGACGGGTCAGCTTGCTTGCTGTAGGAGCCGGTATCGATTGCAGGATACTTTTTGGACTAGTAAGACTTGCCTTGCTCTTTCTTCAAATGATAGAAGATACGTATGGATGCCGGCTTTAGGTCGTAAGGTGTAGCGTAGTGAGTGCTACCAACAGTCAACTGTAGCTCAGTACTAGTAGGTAGCCACCCCACAATCTGACTATCAGTAAGCATCTCCTATGCCCAAACTGGCGTCTCATACTCGAAGTAAGTTCATGATACCGTCCCGCATTTACCCAGCACCGTCTCGATATCCATGAACAGCCCCTTAAACTCTGTTGAGACTTCGAAGGAAGAACTACATATCATGCTCACTCCCCCGAGGGAATTGATATGACAAGTCTTGCAGGCCCGTTCTTCCCCAGCTCTTCCACGGTAGGGCAATCATTCCCTTGACAAGAAACACAACGCCAATACGAATCCAACGCCGGCGTTTCGCTGCAGATGCCGTGTGTTCCGGTTCATACCGCGACCCCACTGGGAGATACCTTAGAACCTGCTTGATGCCTGTTTTTTTGTGGCGCTGGTTCACACAAACGGGAGTATGAACGAACAAGGTGGTTTATGAGGTATTCGCGAACAAGATGTCCCACGATCGTCGAGTTATCTCCAATATAGTAGTGTCTGTTCTTCTTTGTGTAGGGGAGAGTGATTGGGGTCTCCGGATACGGGGCCAGTGATGGTGATGGTCAAAGATTGGAAATCTGATTGGAGCTTGCATGCGGGGATACACTCGAGGATATGGCTATGGTGTTATGCTGGATGATAGGAGGTGATGAGATACTCGGAAGACAGGACAGGTGACTGTTGGAGTCGATGGCGGGGGAGATGGTGGTTTGTCGGGTTGGGTATAGTACCTCGTGGACGTTGTAGGTTGAGTAGAACTTGTGGATAGGGAGAAGATGCACGTGAATCTACAGGGAGTAGATGGGAGGGGAAGCTCGGATGGAGGTGAGATGTTTCTTGTCTGATTCAGGTTGGGGAGACATCGGTCTCGATTGGGGATGTGAAGAACGAACTTAATAAAGAGATAAAGAGAGGGAAGGAAGGGGGAGAAAGGGAAAGATTTATGCGTGGATTTAGGCCCCGGGCTTCCATTACTGGCGCTGCCAGTGCAGAGAGGAAGGGCGCCCCTCGGAATAGACGGAAGTAACTACAATACAGTACTTAGGAAGGACAGGCAGGCTAGCTCTGGGCCGACGAAATGAGATGTGCCACTGTGCTGGGATTGAGACCCAAACCACTAGAACAGACAGTGGGCGGGAAATGCATGCTGCGTACGAGTGGGTGTCTACTTCGCCTGTTCCTTCAGAGGTCGATCTTACTCAGAGACTTCTAGCCTGCACCCGTCATGCTTGATGAAACTTTCCTTGCACTCTCCACTCTCCTCCGCCGGGTTCATGTACATGCGTCGGCCATGCAGGACACTGGGTCTTCATTCTTGGCCAGATACGATACAAGATGTGGCCAATCCATCCTACTTCCAGAACTATGTCCGGAGGATCAGGGTCTAGCATTGAACGGATGTGCGGGTTGCTGGGCGTCTCTCATCGACTACGGTCCTCCTCCCTGTCAGTGCCTATTGGAGGACTGACTACACCAAGCAAACTCAGCCAAGGGCATGAACAGCCCCAACCCAGCCGCCTGCTGCCGGCCACTCGACCCCGAGGTACTGTACCTGCCCGTGCACCGTATCTGACCCGCTTGTCATGTACACCGGTGGACCGTGTTGGAGACCCTCCTCGCTGGACGGGATCAGCTGTTCTCCCTCCTCCTCCTCCTCCTCCTCCCTCCCTTCCGCCAGAGCCACAGCCTAACCTAACCTATGAACGACGGGTCCCCATCACCACCCGAGACCCGACGGTGCTTGATGATTGGAGAGACCCGAACGTAAGCATGAAGAAGGAGGGGTGAAGGGGGGGAGCTCGTCTTGCCACTCAACCCGACCCGGGAAAAGACCCTAGACACACACCCAACCGGTGCATGCGATGAAGGGGACCTGGAGTGATATCTGGCTGCCTAATAAAGTGGACCCGGGAACAGGCGCTGGTCATCCCAACTGGAGGTTAGAGCTGCCGCCGATGGTTCGGATGCACTGAGCTTTAAATGTAAGCTTATTTGGACGTTTCTCGATGCTGTAGGTTGTGTGTTCGTGTAAAAAACCCCTCCATTGTTGGTGTTGAGCTTCTTGCCCGGGATAAGACGGATGTCAAGCGATGTTTCGAACACGGGCAATGGGTCAAGAGACCGGTCGGTCACGTGCAGACTAGAAAAAAGATATTTTTTTCTCAATCCTTTCCCTACCTTGTCACAAGAAATGCAAAAAAACACAATCAATCAATCCCAAAAAAATGGATGAAGAGATCCCACGAGCGAAGAAGGAAACTCCACCAGGAGATTTGGACCAGAGGTATAGTAAGGCAACGGACCACTCAGGAAGCAGCACTGGATTGCAATGGGCGGGCTGCAGGCCGACCAAAGTGGAGACCAACTCATCGTGTGATAAACTGATGGGTAGCATTATTAATGCGCACCGTGATGGATGTGGATTCATGCCGAAAATGATGGTAACGGCTTCAAGTTCAATCCCAATCAGATACCAGCGCAATAGCCAGGATCGAACCACCACCACCACCCCCTCTTACAGGTGCCGTCCCGTGCCCTGCAGGCGCAAGGATCTGTGTGCAACACGGCCAGCCACGTCACGTCGCTACCATGCTGATCAACAACGGAGACAGCGCTATAGTGTAAAAACAAACAGTCAATGCGTAGACTGTCAATCTGACCATCAGCCGTCAATCCATGCTGGACAAGGAAACTACAACGAGGCCCCAGGCGCGCAGAGGTAAGCGAGCGAGAACAGCCGGCCCTCCGCCGCAGGAGACACTAAGCATGGTGGATGACATGGTGGTGAGCTTTCATAGCATCTGTCGCGAGAGGGCGGATGTTGACGATCGACAGCAGAATCTTTTTTTTTTTTTCTTTTTCGCAGCGTCGCTCGCCCAGCATAATCTCCGTCCGAGACTCCGAAGAGATCCGAGCAACGGTTGAGAGATGGCGATGGAACGAGAATGATCCCTAAAGCCGAACCCATAGATCCATAACAAAGCTATGTGTAGAACAAAAAAAATGGCTCAGTCTGTCAAGCAAATCCTAAAATGGAGATGAGTCGGGAAACCGAAGGTATATCGTTAACTTGAGATTGGTGTGATGGCGAGTCAGGTCGAGGGTACAGTACAACCAGATGATGGGTGGAAGCGGAAATACGGGAAATGAGCACGCGAGTGGGGCGGCGGATTGTTCGGCTTACAAGTCCGAAGGAGAGACGCGGTGAATTGCCTGATCGAGAGACGCGAGAGCCGTCAGAGCCGCGGCAGGGGTTGAAGGGATGAATCATGAATGGGATGGATTATCAAACCCCCTCCTAAGTGAAAGTTTGAAAATTTTCAGCTCATCACCTCCAATCTCGGAGCCAATGGTTCCCTACAGGGCAAACTAGTCATTACCCACAAATCCGAAGAGGGTCCCGTTCCATATTTCTTCCCGGACTATTGAAACAGATTTCTTGTGTGCAGAGGGGGAGCTGCTAGTGCTGTCTTCTGCAGTCACAGCAATGGTATAAGAGCGGATGTTGTTGGAGATAGATCGCCTGTGCAACATCCGATTCCGAAGACAGAAGTACTTCAGTCAAACAGATCAAGCATCGACCGCCAAGACTGAATTGAATTGGCACGACGCTTGGTCAGCTCATGCTGAAGGAAGGACCACTACACGGCTTGGCGCTGCAGGAGTTCCGAATGGACGCTCTGGGTCCGGGCCTCGAATGCCGCAGCTGGCCGACCATTATTGCTGACCACAGCACACAAAAATTCTGAGAATCTTTCAGGTTAGTCAAGGTTTCATGAGCAGTAACTAACTACCTAGGTAGCTAGTCCAGTAGCCGGCTAATCAGTCGACAACAACGTGCCGGTGGAAGTTAATATTTTGATATTCGATGTTTTGACTATGTGACTAAGCCCTCGTCATCAATTGTCCGTGACGACGACAGCAGCGGACAAGTACTCCGTCCACCTCGAGTATCGACAAACTTCTTCGGGGAGGAGAACTCGAGACGATCAAGAGGGGAAAGAAGAGGTCTGTGAGGTGATAGAAAGGCCCTAGACAATGGCACTAACAACTGAGTAATTAATGAGACCCTTTGACTCATACCAAGGACCGGGGTGGGAGCTTGAATTTAGTGGCCCGATCCCATAAGCAAGTCCCGACTAGGCTCTTGAAGGAAGTAGTTTGACCCTAACTAATGCACACCTCCGACATCATACATGTACTTATACTAACTTATAGCCAGCCCTAAAGTACCCTGGCGGTTGGGAAGAGGGGCTGACAGCTACCTGGTCTGTAAATGTCGTAAGTAGATAGCTAGAGACTAAGATAGTCGGTCAGCGACCACCAAGGATGCAAGTCATTCGTCCTGTAATCTGAGTGGTGGTTAAGCCCATAGTTCGTAAAATTCATCATTGAATCCAGAGCGCTGTCTGTCCATTTCCGGTTCGTCGTCTTGCCGTCTCCTCCCGTGCTGCTTCTTTGGTCTCTCTTCGACCCTTTCGACCCTTTTCGACCCTCACCCTCAGCTTCCGAGACTTCCGACTCTGGTTGCCAGATCTGGTGACAAGACCACTGCAATCCACATTGACCATCGCCAACTAGTATCCATGGCAAGTCACCTGGCAAACCTGGCAAATCTGGCAAATCCATCCGTCTTATTAGGATTGCCCCCCCTTCGGTGCCGGCGCCGGCCAGTGCCGTTGTTCGAAAAGAAGATACCCGTCACAGGGCGCCTTTTGGAAAATTTTCAATTACACGCTGTTGCAATGCTTATAAATTAAGCCTAGCCCCGCTCTCTTCCATTTGCAAGACGAACTGCACAATTGGCATGGTATCGTTTGGACAGTAGCTCTAACCGCCGTCTCTTACCGTTCTATTTGAACTCCTCTTAAACCTCCCCCCCCTCTTCGTCTCGTTTCCCCCCCAAATCCTTATTGTCCCTGGTCCTTCTTTACCAGAGACTCAATCCTAGAGTGAAGATTACGCGCAGGTGATTTTGGCAGCTGTGAACTGTTGGACTCCCAGTCGTGACTTCATCGTTGAGTATATATAATGGAAACGCAAACCGTCTTGGCATCGCGCGAATCCGGACGGAGCTCGGAGAGCAGCTCCTCCTTGGATGCCGTCGCCAACGAAAAACAGAAGCTGGCGGCGCACGACAGCCTGCCCGACCTCGAAAATTCGGCCTCGCCTAAGAGATGGAAGACATTCTGGAAGTCCTTCCGATACCTTCACAATTTGACACCCAAGCAGGTCGATGACTTTATGGCTTCCTACGTCATCTACAACCTGGACTGGTCGGATGAGAAGCAGATGGTCGAGACGCTGGGACCGAACTATCAGGAAAAGGTTGGCGATTGTCTCAAGGCTTACTATGGCGTTCTCAACCACCTCTGTGCGTTAGGCGACGTGGAGAAGATGTATATTCCGCCGTACATGAGCAAAAAGGCGACTGTGCTGGAGAACCAGCTGTTGTATGAAGAGTCAATTGCGCAGGATATCGGCTTGTCGCCGGGCGATAAAGTGCTGGATTTGGGCTGCGGGCGCGGGCGGGTGGCCGCCCACATGACGCAATACTCGGGCGCGCAAGTCACCGGCCTCAACATCGACCCCAACCAGATTGCTCAGGCACGCTCCTACAACGAGGAGCTTGGCTTCAGCTCCAATTCCTTTGTCGTCCAGGATTTCAACAGCCTGCCCCTCCCCTTTGAAGATGCCAGCTTCGACGCTTTTTACCAGATCCAGGCCCTGAGTTTGTGCAAAGACCTCCCCACTCTCTTCCGCGAGATCTACCGCGTTCTCAAGCCCGGCGCCAAATTCTCCTGCCTCGATTGGGTCAGCCTGCCTGACTATGACCCCTCCAACTCCGAACACGCCGAACTCATGAGTCGCGTGAAGCCTCTCATCGGCGCCGTCGGTACTCCCACGCCCGAGAGCCTCGAGAAAGCCCTCACAGATGCCGGCTTCAAAGTCCTGCGCTCTGACAACGCCAGTGTTGGAGGCTTGCAAGCCCCGCTCATCGACAAGGTTGACTTCTACTTCCGTTCAATGCGCCAGCTTATCCTAGGCCTCGTCAAGGCCCACATGCTGCCCAAACATTTCAAGACCCTGATCAATCGCCTATGTCTCGATGGCGAGGCGTTCGTGAAGATGGACAAAATGCGATTAGTGTCGACGAGCTACCGAATTATCGCGCAGAAGCCTCGTCAATAGGCTACCCCCGAGTAAGACAGGAAGGTCTGGATAAGAGATATTGTTCAGCGTTGGTGTGAACCGGCTTGGTGAAGCAGTGGTGCGCGCCTTGGGCCCCGCTCCGTCCAAGCTATGCTCTGGTGCCGCATTGCAGCTCATAAAGGCCGACGGATCGTCCGCAGGTATCGATATCGAAAGGCTTGAAAGCAGACTGCTCTACGGACCGGCGCAGCCGCGACTTGTCGACTGGAGCTCACATTGGTTGCATGCGACAGCCGAAGTCGCCATCGTTGTGTCGTGGCCGTCCTTTTCGCAACCTGCACAAGAGCACTGCTTGTATTTCCCTGCCAGTCATATGTCGTATCCGGCTCAACCCTGTCGTCGTTGCCTCTTTGATAAACACAAAAAGTAAGTTCAGTGGCAAGCGTCCCATCACCGGCTATGCGCACCCGTATCAAGCAGCCGAGTCCCGCAAATCGGCGTCACAAACTCTCGGCCGGATATGCTAACTTGACTTCCAGTGTCCCATCCACTGGGCCGCATTCTAGGTTATATATTGTTTTCGATTCTCGGCAATTGCCCGCTCTATACCCACAAATCCAACTGCTCCCTGGAATGGTCGCCTTACCAATACCACACCGTCCACCGGCTGCGAAGTGAAGTCAGCGTCGCGTGACCGCTGTACTGTCACATATATACCGCAATCTCTTCATTGATTATCGCAAATCTCCCATCCTCGGACATTTTCACACCTTTTTTATACTTCCTAGCCGGTGTTGGTGCCTTTGCATATGTTTTCTTTCGATTGTTCGATTTTATATTCTGCTATTCAAGGATGCCTTGCTCCTGGAGTGAGTGTTGCAGATAGAGGTACATAGACTTAATAATACGATTTTCCTTCCCATCCCACTGTTTTGGGTTCTCTTTGGCTAGAGGCGAACGTGAAGCAAAATTCGGGCCACCCATGGAACTTGAACTATGCCATGGGAGAGGGACTCGGCACGGGGACACTGGCTGAGTAAGCCCGCTGATCCCAGCCTGCAAATGTCGCCTTTCGATCATTCTATGGCCGTTCGATTCGATGGACCCAACAGGAATTCGGACGGGCCATGATTGTTCCCGTGCAGAGTGGGCGATTGATTAACGATTGATTGACAGACCCACGATCCAATGCAGGTCACTGCACGAAAGAGTTATGCTCCAGCGCTAACTAACCCTTCACTGCTGGTGGTGGTGCTTGATGAACGTGGGCAAGTCAACACCTCCGATTTGGAGAACCGGCACTATGACCCGGGACCTACGAACAGGGTTAAAAGAATACGGCGCAAACAGGATAACTAGGACCTCACTCACTCCTTCCACCATGATGCAATGCATGGAAGATGATCTAACTATCCAAACATTGGCTGAGAATTCAGCACCTGGTTCCGAGGTCCAATCTTGTAGCGTGAACGGGAGTGCGCCTTCACCACGAGGGACTCAGACTACCTTAACTGCCCGGATGGGTCCAGACACGATTCCCTTTCCCCATCCGGGCTCCACCCACCCAACTCCCCCTCCAAGCTTTTGCTGGCAGCCACTTGTTTGCGCACGTTGACAGGTTATCCCCCGCCTCTGGGTCCCCGGGAAGAAACGCTCCTTGGCATCCACTAAATCCCATGTACTGGCACTTTTGAGACGCATTCTTATCGGTCGCTG